AAACCCTGAACCCTAAACCCAAAGGAATGCTGACATCCATGATGCTCGGGCTTTCGGACCTGGTGCTTCGGTTCTTCGTGCTGCGAGTTTGGGGCTTGATCTTTAGGGCTTGGGGTTTAGGGTTTTCCCAGCATAGCCCCAACCTCTGGAAACCTTACAGTCCACCAAAACCTCCCCGAACCCTTTTCTGGCGTCTCCTTTGGTGAACAGCCCCACCAGAAGTGGGCAAGAAACGCCCCTTGTGTTCTGGATGGATTATGAAGAACTCTTGAAGAGTCGAGCCTGATAGACCCTGCACCCGACCAACTCGAGTGAATGCCTCACATCCTAACTTAATCCTCCCAGATCCTGTGCCACCTTCCAAACGCTGACCCTCAACCGCAAATCCTGCAATACCTGTCTAGCCCTTCTAAGAATCCTTTACCCCTGAATCTACAAAAAATCTCAACCCGGGGTACGCCCTAAAGCCTGCAGCCCCAAAAGCTGCAAAACCTCAACCCTAAACCCTAAACCCCACACTCGCAACCCTAACTCCAACCTGTGGAAGGGTGGTGCACGTCGTCGACAGGCTAGGAGGGTGCGCAAAGAGGCTCTCCTGGACTTTCACCGGGGCCTTGCGCCAGAAAGCCGGACTTCAGGGGGTCGTCGAACTTTGAGATCTTAAAAAGCTGTCACAACATCGTCAGTGAAGAAGCACTATGGTATACTCCGAAACCCCTTTTCTAATCATGAAAGCACTGGTTTGCGGGCTTGCAAACTGAACACGATCCTCTGAAACTGCGGCTTGTTGTGCTGTTGGGCTTGATGATTCGATGCCTTGAGGGCTCAAGGTTGTTCAGGGTTTAGGCTTTAGGGTTTAGGAGGGCGTAGGGCTTGCTTTCTGGATGTAGCTCCCCGCCCTCCCCCACCCAATTTTCCGTTCAGAACCTTCACATGCAAATCAAAACCCCAAAACCAAAGGCGCGGAGATTTTGGATCCAGTAGCACAAGCACCTATCCATATACACATAGATATATATATGTATGTATATAGACACATACACAAAATCCTGTGGCCCACCCGAAACCTTTGCATTGAAAGAGCCGGACTCTTGAGCTTAGAGGCCGAAACCCATTGAGCCCGACAAAGACTGCAACAACCCATAAGGGTGTGGGGTTTAGGGTTTAGGACTTTGGGTTTTGGACCAACTCCCAAACACACCAAAGTCCTGTAATCCCTGAACTCCTGCCGCCCGAAGCCCCCTCAAACTCCCCAAAAACCAGAAGCGCCAAAGTTAAAACACCATAACTGCACCCTAAACCCTAAACCCTAAACCCAAAACCCTAAACCCTGAACCCTAAACCCAAAACCCTAAACCCTGAACCCTAAACCCTGAACCCTAAACCCTAAACCCGAAGTGCCAGACTTTACACCCCCGGAGAGAAGACGATGACCCGATCAACTCCAGGTTTGAGCCTGCCAGGGCTGCTGCGATAAGACCACGGAAGCCTGAGCATCGGGAGGCTGCGATTGCTAGGGTTTAGGGTTTAGGGTTTAGGGTTTAGGGTTTCAGGGTTTAGGGTTTAGGGTTTCAAGGTTTAGGGTTTAGGGTTTAGGGTAGCTGTAGCGAGATCTACAGAAGCGGCAAGCGCTCAGGACATCTGTTTTCCTTCACACAGCACAGCTGCAAAACGCTGCATCGTGGCCTTGAGCCAGGAGCCATCCGGCGACCGCAGCTGTGAGATGTGGGCAATCAGTCAAGCATGACCAACAGGTAAACGATTACAGTACCCCCCAATTAAGGTTGCCCACAACGTCACATGCTGCTCTTGGTATTCCTTCACAAGACGAGCTACAGAAGCGGAGTGACTACGGCGTTTATGCCGAGTGTCTTGAGCTCGATAGTTGAGCTCCTCTTTTTCATCTACTAGTGAAAGGAACCCGGCTTTCAGGAAGGCTTCCATCGCTCCATTGGCTTTGCTGGGATCCATCTTCGTTAAAGCATCAACGACCATCTTCTGGTGAGGAACCCACCGCACCATTGACCTAGTCTGTTCTAAATCCCGAACAATTATAGCCAACTCGAGCGAGGCCTTTCTGTCTTGCCGGCCTTGCGGATGCTCTTTCAAGATGCAGTCGAAAAGGCTCTTGGCATCTGTAACTGAGCACTGTCTCTGGCGCTCGTTCAGCTCACAGAGACTCCTCATGACCACCATGTGGGGCGAGAGGGAATAGCGCCAGTCCTTCAGCTGCACATCATGCTTGATCGCGTCCCGGTACATGATCTGCAGCCAGTCTGTCTCGTTAATCCCTTGCAGCATGGCCTGCGTCTCACCTCCAAACGTGGAGAACACCTTCCTCTTCAGTTTGGAACTCCGCCAAGCAAGAGGACTCGCCTTGATCCTCTCCGTGCCCACTGGCAAACTCTCGGCCGCCAGGACTATCCATGCTCCCTGCGTCGCATCTGCCGGAAGACCCTCAGAATCGACCTCCTCATCCTTGGTGTTGATCCCTCCGGCATCGGAGATGGCCAGAAAGGACATCTGCTCTGGGTCAAACCGCCAGATCTTAAGAGGGCGATCGCAGGTGTTCCTCAGGTGATTGATCGACTTATTCACCACGAGAATGTCCGCCACTGTGGCGTGAGGAAGACGACTTGCCATGATAGAGGCTAGACCGCACAGCTCTGGTCGAGTCTCCTTCGCCACCCAATTGATGCGGTAGATGGCTGAGCGGAGAGAGTTGAACTCTTCGGTGTTCAAGGCGCCGCCGTCTTTACGTCGTCCTTTTGCGAGAGGAACTGGATGAACTTGTTCTTGGATATACTTGCTCTGGTCGACTGAGATGTGATCTGCATGACACACGATTCGCCGGCCGGCATATTCCGCGCTGTCCTCATCCCACTTGCCAAAGACAAATCGCTCACACAACTGCTTCTTGATGTCGCCCTTCACGTCCTCATCGGCCGAGACGATCAGGTCGTCGACTTCGACCAGCACCTGGGTGACGTTCCTGCCCTTCTTGTTGTACTTCATGTACCAGCAGGGTTCAATCAAGTTCCGCACGAAACCAGACTGATGTAGGAAGCGGGTGATAGTTGCTCTCCAGGCTGCTGGTGCGTCGTCTAAGCCATAGACCGGGACCAAGATCTCGATCAGAGCACCAGGAGGTAGAGGTAGACCTTCACAGGGAAGAGCGTATAGAGGTCCCTTTGGCCGCTTGAGCCTGTCGGACTGACAGAACGCATTCTTCACGTCACAGAACGAGAAACGGTGACGGAGGTTGGCGCCGACCTGGGGGAAGGTCATGATCGATTCCACCTGGGGCGTCGGGGCGTACGTGACCAAAGACCCGGTGTCTGGGTCCGAGTGTCCATGAAGACACCACCGTGACTTTGCCTTCCACAGCCCAAGCTTGTCGAGGGGCTTGCGCCGACGGACCATTCTTGATGAAATGATCCTATCTCCTTGCTCCTTTCTCACGCGATCGGCCTCTGCTCCCGTGATGACGCGAACGGCCTTCGTCCGGAGGATACTGTCCCATTCCAAGGTGTCGGACTGGGAGAAGAGTTCCTTCTCCTTGGCTGAGAGATCCTTCAGGCTGATCTCGTCGTTCCGCTTGGCCAGAAACACGTAGCCTCCAGTGTC